TTTTATGTTGATTCTACGCTGTAGAATATTTTTCAAAGTGGTAAATAATAAGAAGATTATTGGAGTACATTTTACAATTTTAGTCTTTCTATTTCAAAATTGAATTCAACGTGTTACTTGTTTCTTTGAAGTTATTTCTGAAATTTACTAGCAATTTCTGAGAGAAAATAGTTTCAATGTAAATCCATTTTTGGGGATTCAATGTGTGTGTGTGTGTGTGTGTATATGTATATATATATATATTTGTCGTTACAGGTTTTATTTATAGGTTTTAATCATTTTACAGCCTTAATAGAAACCAAGCAACCAACAACATGTTTTGTAATCATTGCTGGTTCAGACAAAAGCTATTAGCGCTAGTTGGTTTATCGCATCACGCTTGTTTAGGACGTGGTGAGATTAATGTTGTAATGAACTGTCTGATTGGTTCTTTGTTGTGTAGCCTAAGAAACTCATTTCGACCACTCTGATGGCTTTAGCTACAGACACATGGGAAAAACCGAACGTCACTCACATGATGTCAGTGCAGGCGATGCAGGGCACTCTGCGTGTGTTGGGCATTATCAAGTCCAGTGCTGCTGAAGTGTCATTATCACAGGTGGGGTGGGCAGCACATTTCAGGTAGAACTCCTGCAAGAAGCACAAATGAGATGTAATCATGCCTTGCAAATAGGGGTGGGGGATATGGCAAAAATATCGTATCACGTTTTTTTTCCAGGAAAATGAGTCGACCATTCACAATTTTATCACGATTCTTTGCCACGTTGGTTTTACAATTCTGCAAGTTGTCTGAGCAGTACAGCCAAACTAAGTTCCCTATTTTAAAAACAAAGCCTTACAAGGAAGCAACATATAAAATAAAAAAGAATGGCAGATATTTAGGCCAAAGTGGGTGAAGATAATCTTTGTCATTATTTTATCTTTGTTATTAAAAAATAAGAACAAAGATACACATTACAAATACACATAATATACAAATAAATCAAACAGTGCTTTATTTCTCCGGTACAGTGCGTGTACTTAGCAGTAGCATTCAATAAACTGAATGAACACATATAAAAATAAAACACTATATACACTTCACTGTATAAATAATACATTGATTCTCATTAAAGCAACTGTATTAAAGTTCTTCAGTCAAGAGCAGTGCGTGATTTTTCTCTTTGTGTTTTGTTGTTTTCTTAACATTAAAAGGGATAGTTCAGCCAAAAATTAAAATTCTGTTATGATTTACTCATTCTCAAGTTGTTTTAAACCTGAACACATTTCTTTCTTCTGTTGAACATAAAAGTTATTTTGAAGAATGTGGTGTCTTTCCAAACAGTTGCTGGTCCCCAGTGACTTTCATAGTATTTTTTCCCCTAACTATCAAAGTCTATGGGGACCAGCAACTGTTTGGTTACCCACATTCTTCAAATATCTTCTTTTGTGTCCAGCACAAGAAAGAAATGAATACAGGTTTGGGACAACATGAGAGTGAGTAAATAATGACAGATATTTAATTTTTGGGGTGAACTATCCCTTTAATGACAAGCGGCAGCATGTTTAGTAATATTAGTCTGCTGTCACTTTAAGACCTGCATGCATCTAATATACAGGCACGCATCCGTTTTTCTCTCAACAGTTTACTTTCACTTTAGACATAACAACTGTGTTTATATGTAAACCTTGTGTGTTTTGACAGTATTAGAGCAATCAGATGCGAAAGATAACTTGGTCCAGTAATCAGGCTCTGTTTGACAGACTTTTTAGTGTGTGCGCTTCAGGTGTACGCGCTCAGAAAAAGCGCATGTCAGAACAGCACGCGAATTAAATGTTTAACTGGCAAGGCTTTAAAGCACATGCAAATAATGTACTTTTGTGATTGCGAATAAGTGCAGTGTCCTGTAAGTGTATCTCTACCAAGTTAACATTTCATCTGAATGTGTCACCAAGATGGAGGCGCGAGAACTGCAACTGATAGAATGTGCGCTGCAGTGATTTTTCTCTTTGTGTTTTGTTGTTTTATTAACATTAAAGGGATAGTTCAGCCAAAAATTAAAATTCTGTTATGATTTATTCTCTATAAAGTTGTTTTAAACCTGAATACATTTCTTTCTTCTGTTGAACATAAAAGTTATTTTGAAGAATGTGGTGTCTTTCCAAACAGTTGCTGGTCCCCAGTGACTTTCATAGTATTTTTTCCCCTAACTATCAAAGTCTATGGGGACCAGCAACTGTTTGGTTACCCACATTCTTCAAATATCTTCTTTTGTGTCCAGCACAAGAAAGAAATGAATACAGGTTTGGGACAACATGAGAGTGAGTAAATAATGACAGATATTTAATTTTTGGGGTGAACTATCCCTTTAATGACAAGCGGCAGCATGTTTAGTAATATTAGTCTGCTGTCACTTTAAGACCTGCATGCATCTAATATACAGGCACGCATCCGTTTTTCTCTCAACAGTTTACTTTCACTTTAGACATAACAACTGTGTTTATATGTAAACCTTGTGTGTTTTGACAGTATTAGAGCAATCAGATGCGAAAGATAACTTGGTCCAGTAATCAGGCTCTGTTTGACAGACTTTTTAGTGTGTGCGCTTCAGGTGTACGCGCTCAGAAAAAGCGCATGTCAGAACAGCACGCGAATTAAATGTTTAACTGGCAAGGCTTTAAAGCACATGCAAATAATGTACTTTTGTGATTGCGAATAAGTGCAGTGTCCTGTAAGTGTATCTCTACCAAGTTAACATTTCATCTGAATGTGTCACCAAGATGGAGGCGCGAGAACTGCAACTGATAGAATGTGCGCTGCAGCACGATACTACGATATTTCTTCAAAAGCAGATTGTGGAGACATTTTAATCGTCCACAATCAAAAATTGTGTTATCGCACACCCCTACCTGCAAACCCCCACTAAGAGTCTCAAACAACCCAACTGCACTGGTTTTTATGGATTTGCAGCATGAGGGTGGTAATACTGGACCCAGCTGGGATAATGCTACCAATTTAGTCCAACTAGTGGACGGTCCTTTTTCTCTGCCAACAATACAGTGCTAGATGGACAAAAAAGGCACAATAAAAACTGTCTCAACTGAAAATGTGGCTTTATAAAATGAATAAATTCTGGTTGAATGTAGCATGTTGACAACTTTGGTCAAATTTAAGTGACTATGTAATGATAAAAAGTGTGACCAACAATATCTGTAAATGCAAAAGGACACCTTGAGACTTGGTGGAGCCTTAAGCAACTTATAAGTGCTCAAATGTCCTTTAAAACCACCAAAACAGTCCAGCCCACCAAGCTTGTCCAGTCTCAGAGACCAACTAACCACTGGTTTAAGGTGCTTTTTTATTCAGGCAAGTGACAAAAGAATAATTAACATAATAATATGACAAAATTGTTGCTGTCTCACCGCCAATCTGCCATCACAGTCTTGTGACTGACATACTCCATGAATCCTGTTAGGGAGAAGGACGTCATCCCAGCAGCTCGGCCCCTACAGACAACAGACAGAACATCACAGAGATGATAGATGTCAGTCAGGCAGGAATGTGATTAGAGAGGGGTCAAAAGAAAGAAGGACAGTTTAACTTTTCTCAAAGAGAAATAGAACAAAACCCCACAACACTGGCAAAACATTCCTTTAACTCTACATGAAATACTCCAAAAACGTACCTATACATACAATTAACTGCAGTTTCCAGCTGAGATGAAAATTAGTGGCAGTAAAACACCGACAACTTTTATTCGTTTCCGCCCAATTTTTGATTTTGGGTCAGATTATGGATTAATAAAGACTTATTTTTGCATGGTTCCTTGCACAATATTACGTTATGACCTCAAACAGTTTTTACATAGTACACGATTTGTTAAACTAATAGATATTGATGGCTGTATCACATAACCAGCTCCATATGTACAGCTTTTCTGACATAGTAAACTTGCTCAGTAGCTCACCTAGTACAGCATTACACTTGCAATTTCGAAGTGCTGGGCATGAATCCCATGAAACAGAAAACATGATAAAAGAGCTCAAAACTTGTAGAAGCAATATAAAATGGCATGGTTGCTTCAGAAAATGTGGTTTTAATCTCATGTTTGCTTTTGCTCACACTTTTGGTTAGGTTTAGTGTAGCTACCTGTAGGTGATACATTATTTTTTATAGCAATTGAGCATTAAACTTTTAGCGCCACTCACCGGCCAAAATTCAAACTGATTTTTTTTTTCTCCTTGAAACACAAAGAGACGTTATGAAGAATATTTACATAGCTCTTTAATGTATAACAACAGTTCATAGTGATCACGGCTGTAGAACTCCTAAAACAACCAAAACATGTACAAAAACACTTTCATGGAACATGGAGTTGTGTAAAGATTCTTCAGAAATTTTATTTTATTTTTTTTGTAAGAATCTAGTGGAAAACATCAATACTGGTTTGAAATGACATAAAGGAGAGTAAATAATGATAGATTTTCATTTTAAAGTGGACTATCCCTTTAAAAATCACCAGCATCACACAGTCTCTACCTGCTACCTCCGTCACACACACTTCCTTGTCCTTCTGCCAGATTAATACACTCTCTCCATCCATAATTGTTTTGGGACAACGTCCCTCCTCCGCCTGACTCTGACCGTGCCTGATTAGCATAAGCATTTAAACATTCTGACAGGGCCCTTAATAAGCAAGAGAAAAGGTTAAGAAAATCATTACTCGCCCACAGGGGGAGCAGGAGGGGGTGAAGAGAAGGGAGGGCGGACGGATGAAACCGCCGTGCCGTGGTGGAGGAGCCCGGAGATTACACGAAGACACCTGCCTAGAGACAGCAAGGAAAGGTCACACAGACCCCTGGCGCTTCGCTCAAAACAAACGCGCGCGGACACACGCACACGCCACTGCAAGTGTAAATGATTAATGAGAAAAACGCAGATGAATTATTCAACAACACACCTCCCGCATTGTTCACATCAGTCTCACCTCAACACCCTCTCAGGATATTTTTTTTTCTCCATGAAGGAGAATCAACATCGCAGTCCCACAAAGTCTTAATTACATTATTGTTTAACAAACAGAGCTGTGTCTGTGAGCCAGCTGTGAGGATTCTACTTCCTGTATCCAGCAGAGACCCATCTGATACACACAGATTCAACTCAAAGCGCCTGACTGGTCGACTGCGCTCACGTTCACCGCACTCAATTATAGACATCTGAAGTTAATGAAAACACAAACATGGCACACATCCAGGGAAAACAGGGTTGAAGCACACACAGCAAATACTCTGTGTTTGAACACATGGAGGGAACACAGTAGTAATCACAGTGACATCAATGTCTGCTTAGACAGGAAACCATCTTTTGTGAAAATATCAACTGTAGTTACACTTTAGACACAAATTATTTGGTACACTTTTAAAGAATTAATATCTCATGTGAAACATCCAACGTTTTTATTGCAAAACCTATTAAATATGTTTGAAACTATATTAATAAAATTTCTATAAATTCAGTTTTTTTATTTTTTACTTTCTATTAATCAAAGAATCATGGAGAAAAAAAAATCTTATGAAATGGTATAATATGAAGTGCTTTTTGAGCAGCAAATCAGTATATTAGAATGATTTCTGAAGGATCATGTGACACTGAAGACTGGAGCAATGATGCTGAAAATTCAGCTTTAGAAAACACAGAAAATTGTTATTTTAATGTGAATAATATTTGACAATATTGCTGTTTTTTTGATCAAATGAATGCAGCCCTGGTGACCATAAGACACAAAACATTTCAAAAACATGATAGTGTTAGTTTATCAATAACTACAATAAGTTCCTTAATTGTTTATTTTATACACTAATTTGTTGTTTATTTAATTTTCATGTTAATTTAATGTTCACTGCTATAAAATTGCAAATAAATAAATAAAAAAATATTAATAATAAAATCAACAAATAAATAAATCAGGGTTTTAATCAGGGTTCCTAAACTAAAAAAAAAAAAAAAAAAAAAAA